CTATCGAACCATCTCATTGTTATTAAGAACTATGGTCATTTTTCAGCTGTCCAATTACCTTGTTTCTCAAATCTATGCAAATAAACATACATAGTCCAAATTTAATTGATTTTACAAATTTGGTTCAGATATTGTGGGAAGGTTTGTGTATGATAGGTTAGAAGAACTAAAAAAAAAAATCTCTGAGTTCTTCTCGCAAACTGAAAACACTCTGCTCCACCTTGTGATGTCAGGTGGTAACACAGGAAGTGCTCCACTACAATCATTTGGACAATTTCAGATTTGGAACTGCCTCTACTGAACAAAAGGTAAAAGGTAAAGGCAACATTGTGAGCATTTTGGGCTTTGGAGATGAAGACAGACTAAAAATAAAGCATTACTCAAACATACTGTATGTGAATGTCTTCTGGTAATACAGGAAGTGCTCCACTGTGTTTTTAAACTCCACACACCTTCACTCTTTTTTATAGTTTTGTATACAGTATTGTGTGAGATTGTTGTGAAATTGGGAATTTTTTTCTATAGTCATTCATTATTAGTCATTTATTATTAGGGTGACACTTTAGTTTAGGGACTCTACTGAATAAAACGTAAATTGTAGTTGTTATTTTGTGAACTATCGCTTGATGACAGCATGGAACAGAGCATTTTTGAGCTTTGGAGATGAAGACAGACTAAAAATAAAGCATTACTCAAACATACTGTATGTGAATGTCATCTGGTAAAACAGGAAGTGCTCCACTGTGTTTTTAAACTCCGTACAGCTTCACTCTATTGAATAAAACGTAAATTATAGCTGTTAATTTGTGAACTATCGCTTGATGTCAGCACGGAACAGAGCATTTTGAGCTTTAGAGATGAAGACTAATAAACTCAGCCTGATTCATAACCTGATTTCACTTCGTAGAAACCATCGGACCTTGCAGCATTAGAACTTTTTATTATTTAACCAATCGCTGCTATTTGGTCATGGCATATATAATGCACCGCTAATGGGGCTAACTTTTATATAAAATTTTTCCCAAATCCCATAGGAAGAAGGGCAATAACGTCTTTCCCCTTCATAAAATTCACCAAACATTCTCTTTGTTCCGGATTTAAATCCTTGATCTCGGGAATCGTTGCCAACACTGAATGTATGTTCGCTGATTGGCTGGAGCCTGAACTTGCACTTCCGGCATCTTTGTGAACCGTCTATTGCGTTTTGATTTCTGACCTAGTTGCTGGAGAGAAATTAAATTGAGCGGAGGCACTAGTTGGCACCAGCCTGGCTATAGTAAACCAGGATTACTCAAACATGTGTGAATGAAACAAAACACAACTCCAGGTATATTTTTTGATGAGTTAACAACATTATAACATGTCTGAAAGCTCAAAAGAGTCAATTTTGCATATTTTAGGACCTTTAGAACCTTTATAGGACTTTCTCATGCTGGTTACTCAGAAATTATGCAAAGGATTGTGGTTAATGTAGTGCTTTATTTGCTTTATAATATGTCATCTTAGCATTTGATTCATGTCCTTTTATATTGTGATCACCAGTCTGCCAGTGTTACTCGCATCTTTACTGCACACGGTACCTCCACATGACTGCACTTATGACAGCAGCACAGGACATGTATAAATCATGAAGGTTACGAAAAAAGGCATTGCACCAACCAGTAGCTGCACGTATGAAATCAATGTTTGCCTTTGAAACCACCAGGGGCCCTCCACTGTTTATCCAACACGCCAAAGCCTCTCCTCAACACGGGGGAACGCGATGGTAGGGGGACAGTCACGTGACCAATCTTTCAGAAACGGTGGTGGCTGTTTTTTTTTTTGTTACAGGCTCTGGTGAATTTCCCTCACGGCCTGTTGCGGAAAACTAGAGAGGATGAGACAGATTTCTTCCACCATATTGCTTTGCACCTGTCAGATTGGTTCAAATCATTGGTCATATGGGAGGAGGGATGGTGATGGTGGTTGTGGTGGAGGAGGAAGAGGAGGAGGGAGGCGCGCAGCAGTGTGTCGCTATGATGTGCCAAGATATGAACTTATTGTGGACTGGAAAGAGCGCAAAAAAGAGCGGGATTGGATAGCAACTGCGGCAGAACAGTTCTCAAATGAAATACGTGCAAAATTAGACGCAAGGGAGTAATTTCGGGACGCAAAGAGAGAAGGCATTGCAGGTGAAGGTTGGCGCTCGAGGAGACTATCCATTTTTTCGCGTAAATTTTTCATTTTTGTTATGGAAACCGTACAAAAAAGAGATAAAAATTAAAGCTAGGCTATTGCTTACTAAAATTGCCAATACCTAACAGTCTTCTAACTAGTGGGGGTTATAAACTTGCATTGCAATGTCAGACAATGACGTCACGCGGTGCTATTTTTTTTTATCAACTAAAAATCTGTCTACTACATCGGCTAAAATTGCGATTAACTTCAAATCAAATTGGTGATCGATACGGCTCGTTCCGTTTGCGTTTCAGTGCTTGACATTTGATGCAAAAAAAAAAAAACCGACAACACCTGTTCAATTTTTCTGCCCAGACACGAGAAGTCTAGCCTCTAAAATTAGCTTTTACGATCCAACATTTGCGCGCTTTGGAGCATTTTCGCCCACGACAAAAACGCGCGTAAAACGATTTAAACAAAAAATAATGTTAATGCAAATAGCAGGTGGAAATATTGTTAATTGCATTGCTTATAAGTCACAATGTACCCACTCACCTACACGGGCCAGGACAGCCGAAGAGCGCATCAACCAAAAAACTGCAGAATTTAACCCGTCACGCACCAGACGCAGCGAGGGCATGCGTCCCCGAGTCACGCACGAGTGGACCCAGACACAACAAGAATAACACCCTTTTGCATAGAAATGACCTACCGTGCTGTGTGTCCTCGTGGTGCTGGATCCGAGGTGCAGTCCGCCGAGACGCGCGGTGGTCAGCGGAGACGTGCGAATGCTGCTGCCGTAGTTGGAAACGTGCCTCCTCTCCCGGTGTCGCCTCCCTCTCTCCTCCTGCCTCTCTCCTCCTGCCTCTCCCTCCTCAAGAGCCGCACTTCACGACTCAGCCTCAATATTTGGAAGATGGTCTCGGCCTATTCCGCTCTTTAAAAACACTCGACAGTAAATGGAGAAGATGGACAGAGCGGGCGTCTCTCCCCAAGATGTGGTTATGACAATGTAATTACGAAACATCAATAAAAAACACGCATTGTGTCTTTATAAAGGCGTTAATGGTGCACTGTGTAACTTTTTAGATGGAGTGTCTTCTACCACTTTGTCTCCATGGATACTGGGTGTGTGCAAAAATATCAAAATATCGTATCGTTTAATGTGACGATACAGTATTAAAATCGTGGGCTGCTGAATCGATATATCGCCAAGAGTATTTTTTTTGGTATATTTTACTAACTTATTTTGTTACAGCTACAGTTTTGTTAGCCTGATTCATCAGACGGTTTCACTTCGTGGAAACTGTCTGACCTTGCAACGTTACAATTCGTTCACTCGACAGTAGGTGGGTACTTTTTTTTTAATTTAACCAGTCGCTGCTATTTGGTCGTGACGTATGTAATGCACCACTAATGGGGCTAACTGGTATATTAAGCTTTTCCCAAATCCCGTAGGGCAATAATGTCTTTCTTCTTGATAAAATTCAACATACATTCTCTTTGCTCCGGCTTTAAATCCTCGATCTTGGGAATCATTGCCAACACAGAATGAATGGCTCTTCGCTGACTGGCTGGTGCCCGCACTTCCAGGGTTCTTGCAAACTGTCTAGTGTATTCTGATTCCTGACCTCGTCGCTTGAGAGAAATGAACTCAAGCGGAGGCACTAGGTGGCACTAGCCTGGCTACAGTTTTGTTGCTTGTTTGGAGGAATAAAACGCGTTTATGCGACACATTTGAATATATTCACTGTTTTGATGATTAAAATGTGTGTGTTTCATATTAACTTCGCACAAGACATGGTTTACCAAAGACTTTTACATGAGAAATCTTGCGGGTAACGACAAAATATTTTATTGGCAGTGCCTTTCGTTTAAGCGGTGACGGCGTTTTTGGGGCTTAAAAACACAAAAATCTGAAACCGCCCTCCAGAGTGGAAAAGTTGAATACGCTCTGCCGTAGCGTTTCCATCTACACTGCCCAAGACGCAAAACTCTGATCAGATCTGTTCACATCGCATACGTGTTTACATCACATACATATAGTACACAGAAACAAACATGTCTGACCATTTCCATGAGTCGGACCTTCAACCACCACCTGGCATGCGTACCCAATCAAATTCCACACACTTTTCCTCTCGAAAACGCTCGTCTAAATGCAGAATAAAAAGTGAAGACTCTTTTGTGTCTTCATATAAATGTAGCCTTAGCCTTTATTTTTTATTGAACCATATCGAATTGATTTGAAATATATCGTATCGAATTGAAAGTGAAGTGTATTGACATATGTATCATATCGTGACCTATGTATCGAGGTATGTAACGTATTGGCTATTTCTTAAAGATACCCAGCCCTAGTGGATACTACGGATGTAACAATAACTGAAATATCTTATTGTCAAAAGTCTCACAATAATATCGTGGGCTGTCAGAACATGTCGAATTACAAGTTCCTTTGCTTAAATACATGGTTTTTATAGTAGTACTAGCTAATAAACATCGGGAACTACATATCCCATGATTCATTTCAGCACAAACAACGTGAAGAAATATGTTTTTTATGTTTTAAGTTTAATGTATATTGTGCACTGTCCCTGTCTCATAAATAAACTAAATAAATAAACTGCTTTGCCTGGAATGTTCCAGAGTATATGGCATTAATACCTCCTGGTCAAGTTACAAATTTGAGTCGTATCTATGGAGAGGCGAGCCCGCTCACAGTAAGATCTTTTTCAAGTAATAAAAACGAACTGAATTGAATGAATGCAAGATGAATAAATTTCATGCCATACTACTGTGGAAAATCCCGGAGAAAACAATAATATCTGAAGAGACAAGTGGAAGTTTAAGTGTCTTTTTCAATCTTATAAATTATACAACCTTTGGAACATTTAGTAAAACACAATTCAAGGTTTTGTATTTCAGATGAACTTACTTGTAGCTGCTTATGCATGGAAAAAAAATAAAATTAAATCAACTTAGTGATTTGTAAATATAGACAAAGTGACATTACTGCCAACAGAGGACTGGCATGTGAAGCCGTGAGTCATTTTAGATCGGGCTAAAACAAACCAACATTTGCTTCAATGTTGTTAAGCTGCACCGTGAAGGTTATTTGAGAATGAAATATTAACTACAAGTCAGATGGTGGAACATTTCCAGATTACCACCAGATGCTGTGTGACTAAGCATTTTTGAGCTGTCAAGTAACGCAGACACAAAACACGCAGGATTACTCAAATCAAAACACAACTGCAGGTATGTTTTTGATCGTTGACATTATTATAACATGGCTAAAACCTCAAAAAGTCAGCTTAGCATAATACGAGACCTTTAATCAAAAAGGCACACCGCGGAGGTAGTCAATTTTTACAGCAAGGATGAAGTTACAACAGTAGAACAAATTGAAAAACGCATTTATATTCAGCGATGGGGGTGGGAGATATGACCAAAATGAAAACGTCCACGAATTTAACCACAAAAGGGCAGAAATATTAATATATACTCACTTCAGGTCATTTTTGATAATAGACCAGCTCCTCAGTTTAAAGGTTTGTCTAATTTTGAGTTCATTTTATATAATTTTTTATCTTTATCTCTGTGAGATAAAAAATACAGTAGGAATGATATGTCCACGTTCAGACCAGGTTTAGCCCTAGATTACACCTGGAATATCCCTGTTATAGGTCTGATATCTGTATTTAGTATCTCCCCAAAACAACAATGATAGCAGCATTCATTTTGTAATATATCTCCCACCTCTACACCTCTATTCAGACATTCAAAGATGAAATTTGTATGCAACACATTAGGCACTATATACCTCAATGACTGGCAGCAGCATAAGTACCCAGCAAGTACCTAAACCTATTATCCTACGTGGAACTAAAAGGATTGGCTAAGCATAATGGACTTTAATGGATACAGGAGAAATCAGGCCGTCCCATATAAGTTCATGATTAGTCATATTAAGCAGGATCCATCCATCACATCGTCCGCGTGTTCAGTATACAGCCCTGCTCTGAGACATGATTTACAAACAGCACCTTATCTCACGGTCATCTGCCAGCTCTGATTGAAGGCACTAACACAGAACTGAAGTCAAGGTTGTGTTCACACTTGTCCTGGTTTGGTCCTGGTCTAGTTCTGTTTTGATGTGATGAAATGTTGAGTGTGAACACAACCTAAATGTGAAAAGTGAGAGATGGGTGGATAAGAAAAAGGCAGGTTAAAAACACAAACATACACACTGCAGAAATGTGTAATATCACTTGAATTCAGAATATTTATCTATGTTTTGTGTGGTTTTGATTAATTTAGAAGTATTTTATTAGCAACAAGTAGGGGTGTAATGATATCCAAGTCTCACGATACGATATCGTCACGGTATGAATCTCAAGGTACGATATTTATTGCGATATCGTGGGAAAGCTCACGATACTGTGGGGAGGCTCATGATTAGGGATGTAACAATATCCAAATCTCTCTGTATGATATTTTCATGATATATATCTCACAGTACGATATTTATTGCGATATTTTGTGGACGCTTACAAACAAAACTGTTAATATGTGACTTTTTACTCTTAAAATGCCTTGACAAGACTTAATCCAAAGATCTAAGACTTAAAATTGCTTAGAACTGTTATTTCTTCTGGTAGTCTGCACTGAAATGGAGCAAAGGATCATGGTCTATGTAGTTCCTGTCTTTTTTTGAGCTACTGTTGCGCCATAACTTTAAATTTAAGCAAAGCAACTTGTAATTTGATATATTGTGATGGTTTACGATATTATTGTGAGAAGTTTGACGATACCATATCACGATTTTTTGGTTATTGTTACATCCCTAGTAACAAAATATTTATTGCTGGGTTTCATCATGTAACTTGACTTGAGTAAATTTGACAGTTTTATTTAGTTTGTTAGGTTTTCAATTTTAGATTTAGTTTCAAAGTATTTTTCACAGATTTCAGCGTTATTTTCTTCTCCAACATTTTGATCCTCCAGTTTAACAGAAACATTCTCACTATGCTTTCATATAGTTTTATTTAAATAAGAAGTTTGGTAACACTTATTAACATCTAACTACCTGCTGAATGGCATAGTTGTAGATAGTTAATTTGTTATTAATTTCTATTTATTCAGCCCTTATTAATGTCTAATTCCCCATAACTTTATTCTGCTCTTAGACATTTACACTTTTAAGAGTAAGCTCAATTTATTAAGCGCAAATAAGTAAAAACTGCATTTCTTGTGTTACTAACAGCACACTTATTACCAAAAGCTTATTAGAATCATAATTCATGGACAAAAATGGCCTAGTATCAAACTAATAAGCAGTAATAAGTAGTGTATTGATAGGAAAGTGTTTGTAAATGTCTAACTAACAGGAGAATAAGCTTATGGAGAATTAGACATTAATAAGTACTAAATAAACACTAATTAACGACAAATTAACCAGGTTAAGTAGCAGGTAGTTAGATGTTAATAAGTGTACCCTAAAATAAAGTGTTACCAGAATTTTTTATTAATTTAAATCAAAATATATGAAAGCATAGTAAGAATTTTTCTGTTAAATTGAAGGACAAAAATGTTGGACCAGAAAATAACACTGAAATCTGTGGAAAAACACCTTGAAACAAAATCTAAAAATGAAAATCTACAAACGAAATAAACATAAAGTCAAATTTACTCAAGTCATGTGTTAAATATTCTGCATTCCAAGTCATTTTAACTCATTTTTGCAGTGTACAGTGCATAGCAACGACTTTGGTTTCACTTGTGGTCCCTTTTTAAGGCAAATCAATGCCCAGGCTGCATTACAAATCTCTACCGTCTTAGTTCAAGTCCGTTTTAATCTATATTCAAAATTCAACTTTCCGAAATGATTCACTTACTTCGACATATATAAAGTTAACAGTGTTTTAAAATGCAAAAATCATACATTGGACGTGTCGGTAAAAGTACATTCTAAACAACTACTGTGTAAACAAAACTAATTTTATTCACTGGATTAATGCTTCTCAAACTGCGGTACGTGAGCTCCTTCTGGTGGTATTTCTCTGCAATTGTTGAGAGTCAGTTTTATTCACATTTGGGTGCTTGCTTAGATTTACTGTAGCAATGACGTAATCCTGTTTTAGACCTAGTTTAGACCTGCTTTAGTCCTGTTATAGGCCTGGTTTAGATCTGGAGATACTCAAGATGCTACTATTTTATTGTGTGTGAAATGTTTGAGAAATGTTCAGCTCTATTTTGGTTCTGATTAGCTTAAAAAACGCTGTCTGTGGGGTTATGTTTTCTTGCGCCCTTTGCCTCTCCCTCCTGTTGTCGGAGCAGACTCTGGTCCGTGGAGTTTGTGTTTTTCCAGGTCGACTTTCTGCTGCAGGATCCCGGTGAGGATGAACTCGCTGCTGACGACCGGGAGGCCACAGGACAGAGCCGGAGCGCACAGGGACCAGTCGTCCTCGCAGGAAATCACCACAGTATTGGGCTGAAACAAACATAAGTCAAGTTAAAAGTGAGTTTTGCTATGATACTAAAATTTCAAGTCAAATTTTATGCTACTGAAAACGCAAGAACCACAACGGGGTAGGACAGTAGCTCTAAAACTTCCTCCCTGTTGAGCATTATGGGCTGTGCTTTTTACTCTCACTTTCCATTGCAAAAATATTAAATAATTTGAATGCCTAGTTAAAATAAACAAACAGATCAAGGCACTACCAAAGAAAATTTGCTTAAATCAGCTAATTTGGGCACAACTACTTTATTTGAGGTTGATTAATGAGCAATGTCCCCTTTCAAATAAATAAATAAATAAACAAATAAGCAAAAACTAAACACAAGATCCACTGATGCACAAGGAATTCCTATGTCCTCTACCATCTCCATGTTATAACCATATTTAAATACTATTTACATATTAAAAATACAATTGTAATATAGTAATAATAGTCATACTTCCTTGAGCTTTGCTATGTGGTCATTCTAATTCACAAAAGGAACAAAAGAAACACAAAGTTAATAATATCAATCTGTTTTAGTGTTGAATTTTGTCACAACTCCAGTCACAAAATCACTCAAAATCAGATTATTATCAGATTTTGATAATGAAAGTGACAGGTAAACAGCAAAATGATGCAGTTTCTTTCTAAACATAATAATAATCAGATTTTGTGGTGCATGCAAACAAACCCAGTGTTACCTTTTTGGAGGTGGGCATTCTGGGTAGAAACACGGCTCCACTGCAGGAAATGATATCCTTCATTTGGACTGGCTCTGGCTTTACGGACTTAGTGACATGGATCTCATATCCCTGAAAGATAAAAATAGTGATGAGTCGGACAAAGGACATTGGGTGAAAAACTAAACTTAATTTTGGAAAATCAATAGAAGGCTCTAATGAAAAGATTGTGGTCCATCGCACGTATAGAGTTTCCTTTACTTTAAAAACTTCACGGCGAAGAGAAATGGAAATCTGATTCCAAGTTTTCTGTATTGAGCCTTGTTTACAAAGTGCAAACTGTAAAATACCAAGTAAGCATAAAACACAATTGGAAAGCAGGTTTGACAATATCTACTTGTCTTGTTGACTGTGACCTTTTACATCATCAAATGTATCGATGATGTGACCCACACAAAAAGCATCATCACTCAGGCTCACTGGAAGCCATGGTTGACAGGGGCCATCCACAGGCTGCTGAGGGCCAGAGACAACGCCTTCAGAGCTGGGGATGAAACTGACCCGAGAACAGCGAGAGCCAACTTGTCCCGAGGCATCAGGAAAGCAAACAAGATAACCTCCCACTTCAAAAACAAAAGAGATGCAAAGACCCTGTGGGAGGGCATCCAGTCCATCACGAACTACAACACCGCCACAACACCATAATACCACAACTCATCTGCAAACTCAACAAGCTGTGGGTCTCAGCACCTCCGTCTGCAACTGGCCGCTAGACTTTCTCAGCCAGAGACCACAAACAGTACGTGTTGGCAACAATACCTCAAGCACCATCACTCTGGGCACAGGGGCTCCCTAAAGCTGCGTGCTCAGTCCTCTGCTCTTCACCCTGCTGACATATTACTGCACAACAACCTACAGCACCAACCGTCTTGTGAAATTTGTGGATGACAACTCTGGTGGGTCTCATCACCGAGGGCAACGAGACTCACTATAGGAAAGAGGTAGACCTACTGACCACGTGGTGCAGAGACAACAACCTCCAGCTGAATGTCAGCAAGACTAAGCAGATTGTTGTCGGGTTCCAGAGAGTCCACGCCCAACACCCGCCACTGACCATCAATGGTGCTGCTGTGGACAGAGTGAGCAGCACTAAATTCCTGGGGGTGTACATCAGTGAGGACCTCACGTGGACCACTAACACTGCATCACTGGTGAAGAAAGCCCAGCAGCGCCTCTACAACAACAGGCAAGTGCCTCACCATCATCATGACCACATTCTACACAAGACCCATTGAGAGCAGCCTTTCCAGCTGCATCACTGTGTGGGGCGGAAGCTGCACTGACCACGACAGGAGAGCCCTGCAGAGCAGCGTGAACCCAGCCAGGAAGATCATTGGTGCACCACGCCCCTCTCTGCAAGACATATGCACCCGCTTCACATGCAAAACCATCACAATTATGAGTGATGCAAGTCACCCTGTACACAATCTGTTCAACCATCTGTCCTCTGGGAGGAGGTACAGGAGCCTCTGTTCCTGCACCACCAGACACACAAACAGTTTGATCACCCAGGCTGTTAGGATGCTGAACTCTCTCCCCTCTCTAGTCACCAAGCGGCCAGGAAGCTAGGAATTTGTGTCTCCCCAAGAACAGAACCCCCTAAAGAACACTTGGACTCAAACCCCCCTTGACTCCCCCAAAAAAGACTGTCTTGTGCCTTACATTATATGCCTTTTGCACTTTTGCACTATTTACATTTATTATTTATTTATACACATGGGAGTGAGAAACACAATTTCGATTCTTTATACATTTTTCGAATGAAAAATTTACAATACACTTTTTTAAAGTTTTTTTTTTACTTTGAACTTGTCTTTTTGTTGTATACCATTGCCCTTCCTCAGTCTCTCCTCCACTCTCCATCTGCACACTTACACCGAACACCTGATGTACAGGACTCTGAGGTCTGTGTCCATCTTTTCTCATGTTATCCTCGCCTCTCATCTGATGTCTGCACCTTTCCATTTATTTTCCCAAAGAGCTGTTGTTCAGTCTTGCGGTTTACTGAATATGTTTATGGGGGGGTTCATGTCCTAACTAACAGTCCTGAACACATTGACTGGGATGAGTGACAGGTCTGTGCTGCGCAGAGAGAGAGGAGAGACATAGGCTGGTTATTGAATGTCTGCACTTGTTTTATAGCGGCACACACAGGACTAATGTCTGGGCGACATCAGGAGAAGAGGGTGCTTCATGCGTCATAAGTCTCACTGTACATGCGCATTTAAAACCAGCCCACTGTGGTGCTGTTTTGTGAGTGCTGGGATAGGAGGGAGAAAAGGAGACAGAGCACCCATTGTCAGAAACAACAACATGTAAGTTTTAATAATAGTAACTGTTAATACATTGACTCCTCTGATTACATAACCTCAGTAAAGAGGTTGAACAATTTGGTCAATACAATAATACTATAAACACGCGCTGCTCCATAAAGAGGTGAACAATAACTTGAGAGATCCATTTGGGATCGGTGGGGACATTCGAGGTATGCACAGTGTGTACCCCTGCAGGCACTGCTGCTGATTATCATATTAAAAGGAACTGTCACTAAGATTTGGATTTTAAATTCCACAAACATGACCTAACTGTGTCCAAATCAAATATAAGCTTTTCTGATAACAACTGTAATGCTGTTTTATTCTTATTTACAAAAACATTAGACATGATGGCCAAGTTGTTTTTGGTTGTTTTCGTTTCAATGTTGAAATTCAGCTGGTTTAAATTAAACCTAAAAGGCCTCTCTCTCTCTGGTCTGATCATGACCTAAACCCCAGACCTGCAGCCAATCATGAAGCAGTGCTAGTGCAGCCTCTGCATCTCAGTGAGCGAATTCTGGAGGATCTAAGCTTTCATATGAAACATTACTTGTCCACATATTGAGAATAAGAAAAACCTAAGCAGGTTAAGGCACTGGAACCACAGGTTTAGTTGTGATTGTAATAATTTTGTTTAAACTGTAAGAGCACAGACTATATACAGTTACTTTAATCCTCATGGTACATTAAAGATCACTACCAGTGCCAATTCAGATTCAGATCAGAAAAAATACATTTTAAAATGAGCACATTTGTAATGAAATTCATATAAATTGCTGATTTTATGTATGATTCATGCACGCACCTGTAGAAGAGGCTGACTGTTGGCCACATTAAGAGACTCCTGGAGGTTGAACTCAAACTTGTTTTCCTGCTCACGATCTTTCACCAGGTATGTGCTAGGACACAAAAAGCTCCCTGCTTTTCCACTCTGAAACATAACATTTAATTTTGACACATTAATAAATTACACAGTATAAAACATACATTACACTTTCATTAATCTTAATAAAACATGAACAAAGCCTAATAAAAACAGTTTATTAAGAATGTTTAAACGTTCAGAGTTAGGATTTAGAGTTAATTAAACAAATGCTAAGCTTAAATCATCCTTAACAAACTATATGTTCATTATGAATAAAGTCTTTGTTCATATTTTATTAAGGCACAAGTAAATTATATAATTCTGTTATTCTATCTCAAACTTCAACACACCTTTTCCAGCCACGCAGTAGTAACAATGGGGACCCCTTTAGCCACAGCACACAGGAATTTGACTGTCCTCCGCACTTTATCAGTCACTAAATAGTTCATGTCAAACACATCTTTAGCTATGGCCCCTCCTAATCGAGTCAGCACTTTCTCTCCTGCCTCGTCCACGACTCCAGTGAACAGAACCTGCAAATGTAAACACAAATATTATATAATGTTACCACAAAAATACAGCAGGAAAATGAAGAAACTGCTTATTCCAACAAAAATAATTAGAAAGTATGTGTAATACTGTAATACCTTGTCCATGTGTTAAATTATGTCTACTAGATTTTTATTTATTTATTTTGTGAATATGTTTCGCCACTCATCATAACTTAATTTTTTTTGCTTTAGAATATTGCACCAGTATTTATTTTTTAATGTTTTAAATGTATATTGTAATTTTTCAAACATGAATAACAAGTGGAATTTCTGCATTTGGTTTTATTTTAGTATAAATTATTTTATTAAGTCACATATGAACCAACAGCATGCACCAAATCCACAGCTCTAATGGATTCTATCTTATCATATGGACAATAAGAGTAAACAAATTTTTAATTTTTTTTGCCAATGTTGCTCATCTCCGTGACAAAATGATGTTTGATTCTCCTGACAAAGTATAAACACATAAATCTTAAAACAGATACAGACCTTGTAACTCTGACTAGCAGCTCTAGATCGCGAAACACTCGGAGATGCAGTGGAGGAGCGTGGAGTCTTGGCCAGAGGATCTGACTCAGAATCAGGTGAGCTTCTTTTCCGGGAAACGCTGCTCTTCGGCGTCTGGGGAGGCTAATGGACAAAAGGAGAAGATGTGGAATAACTGATAAAGAGGAGTGTACAACAAACAATACAACTACACACAATGACAGTGATGAAGTTAAATTATGATGAGCAGGACTGACTGTATGTGTGAATATGTTGCCAGATACTGTAAGGAAAAAGCTATTAATAAAGACTAAAGAAATGCCTGAATTAAGTAATGTTTGTGTCACTTAACGCAACACTGAAACAAAAATTACAATACAAAAATAAAATAATTTGGTATAAAAAATAAATATTTGAATTCCTGTTTAATTAATAAGTTACAGAAAAGACTAAATATGATAATTCTACAGATACTTTCACCAATTAACCAAGTGAGACTCAAACAAAATCACAATTTGTTATCAAATTTAACACTGTTCTTGGCTACTAGACACAGAAATTTATTGTAATAGGTTTGTAGTTTTAAGTTTGAACTTGCTATACTGTAACATAAAATATGATATGAAGAAATAAATAGGATTTGGCCAACAGCTTTAAAGGCCCTGTATTATTCAAAATTGGCTATTGTGAGCGTTAAGCCATGTTAAATGTTGTAACCTCCACAAAAAACATACCCGGAGTTGTGTTTTGTTTCACACGTTTGATTAATCCTTTATGTTTAGTCTGTCTACATCTCCAAAGCTCAAAATGCTTTGTTCTATGTGGTAGTTTTCAAGTTAAGAGCTACCCTTTAAATTTAGTTTGGTAGAGACTGGAACTCAAAGGCTGAAATTATCCAAATAATTCTAGCAGAGGTGGGACCGAGTCATTGTTTTGCAAATCTCAAGTAAGTCTCAAGTCTTTGATCTCAAGTCTGAGTCAAGTCCCAAGTCAAATACAGACAACTCCATGTCCAGTCTCGAGTCAATGGCCCGTAAGTCCACGTCGTCTGAGTAATTTCAAGTCTTCAAACCAAAGTACCTAATATTGCTTAGATTTTTGTAATTTATATAAATTTTAAGATAAATTGTACTTATATACTTTATAAATACTCATATATAAATATATTACTGCTTTATAAGAGTTGTAGAAATGCATTTTTTTTCCTTTTTAAATGTCTTGACGAGATCTTAGAGTGAATCATTACAGTCAGAATAAAACAAATTCAGATTTAAAAGTCCTTCTCAAGTCTACTCAAGAGTCTCAAGTGTTCATCCATTTTATCAAGTCAAGTCTCAAGTCCTAAAAATAGTGACTCAAGTCTGACTCGAGTCTAAGTCACGACTTGCAACTCCCCACCTCTGAATTCTAGTGAACGTGTATGGAGTTTAAAAACACGGTGGAGCACTTCCTGTATTACCACATGACAACACAAAGTGGAACAGTGTTTTCTGTTTGAGAGAAGAACTCAGCTTGTTGGTGTGTTAAACATGTGTGAATGAAACAAAACATAACTCCAGGTCTGTTTGTGATGAGAAAACATACCATAAATCAGAAAATAGCGTAATATAGGCCCTTAAGTTGTACAGTATATTTACTAAAAGCATTGTATTTGGTGTAATTTGTTTATAAAACTTACTCAAACTAAACTGGTTAGTAAAATATATCAGGTTACTGTCTTGCCTAAGTCGTCAATACTCATCTGTAAAGCTGACACTGCATTACAGACACTGGAAAACGTAATGGATAGGAAAGCAGCTTAGCCTGTAAATACTATGAACACGCTTCTATCAGTCACTTCTCTTCACCTAAATCGAATTCCAGCACTACTTTAATGTACTGCAATCGAATCGAGCGTTTTATTTCATCACCTCTTCCTGTTCCACGGAGTTGTTTGCAGACGAACCACTGTCGCCGTGCTCTTCAACGCTTTTAGCCTGGACAGTGGACGCACGGCCCCTCGCTTTTGGTTTATCCGTTTTTGCGTCGTCTTCTTCTACTTTCATACTTTTTCTAGTGGGGGGATTTCTCGCTGCTGCTTTTCTTTTCCCACTCAAACTTGCGTCTTTATCTTCATCTTTTTGTTCATCTTCAACTTGCGACGCTGTTGTTTTCGATTCATTTTTAGTCTCTGTCTGTTTCGTGCTCGCTTTTCGTCTCTCTGTGCTACTTGTCAACGCGTCCCCTTGCTCTTCATCATTTTCAGGCGTTTTTGAGGTATTATCTTTAGCTCCACGTTTCCCCCTTGTGGACACCGACGGCTGGTTACTGTCTCCCTCGTCTTCGTCGTCATCTTTAGGGCAAGTCCTTGTACTTTTTCGTCCCCTTTGCGAGTTATTTTCAGTTGACACCTGCTCGATTTCAGACTTCCTCCCTCTCCCTCTCCCTCTTTGCCTGCCTCCTCTTCCTCTACCTTGCGAGCTCACGCTGTTCACCGACAACTCCGAATTCAGGGATGTATTCGAGTTGGATCTCGACAGCGTCCTGGGAGGAGACGAGGGAGGCGCTTCTGTGGCGGCTACAGTTCTCCGCCTGCCTCTAGACGGCGCTTTCTCGACTTGTACTTCTGTCTTTCTCCCGCCTCTTCCTCTTCCCCTTCCTCTTCCCCGGGTAGTTTGGGAGACGTCGCTAGACAAAGACCTCTCTGAACCTACAGAAGTTGAGGAATTGGATCGGGACCTGGTTCTTTTTGCAGGAACGTCATCTTCGTCGGCTACAGTCGAGGAAGACGACTCTGGGGCAGCTATGGTTCTCCGACCGGTTCTTCGACCTCTTCTCAGGGCTTGGTCTTCCTCTTTTTGCTTTTCTTTTTCCAATCTTGCCTCCTCCTCCATCTTTACTCGTTCCTCGCCTCCTCTTCGCTTTTTTGGCTGCTTCCGATCTCTCTTTCTCTTTCTTTTTTCTGCTCTCTCCGTCTTCTTTCTCCTCTGCTTCTTCTCCTCTTTCTCTTTTCGAAGTTTAGCTTTCTTTCTCCTGTTTAATCCGTTCCTTTTCTAGTCTTTTCTTTCTTTCCTTCTCTTCCTTTCTTTTTGCTTTTCTTCTTGTTCTTTTCCTTTTCTCCACTCTCCTTTTCTCTCTTTCGTCTCTTCTTTCGTCTCTCTTTCTACCTTTTGTTCTTGTTCTTCTCTTTTTCTAATCTTCCAATTCTTCTCTCTTGCTCTTTTCTTTATCCTCTTTTTCCTTCTGAACTTTAGCTGCCATTTTGTTTGCTTTTTCCTCTCCTCCTCCTCTCCTCTTCTCACTCTCTGGTTCTTTTCCTCTTCTTCTACCTTTAGAAACCGGCGTCGCTTTAGTCTTCCCTCTGGTCTGTCTCTTCGTGGGTTCAACAACAAGTTCCTCATTTTGCTTTTTCTTCCCGATTTTGCTTCTCCCACTTCTTGTTCCTCTTACGCCAACACTCTACTTCTCCGCTCTCTTTTCCATCATCGATTCCGCTTGGGAATTTTGCTGTTGCGTATCTTCAAGTTTTCTCTTTCTTCTTTTCGGCTTCTTTTCGGATTCGACTTTTTTTTTGTCGTTAATTGGAATTAACTTCCTCGTCGCTTTCTTCATTTGTAGGAATAGGTTGAGTTGGATCTTATCTCCGTTCGTATCTTCTTCTGTCAACTTCACTTTCTCTTCGGACTCCTCTCGTCAGTTCCTTCTTTTGTGAATTTCTTGGCTTGCCTCTTCCTCTTTCTGCTTCCTCCTTCTTTTGAAAACTGGCTCGTCGTCGCTCTTCTTTTCCATCGGGACTGTTTGCCTTTCTCTTCTTCTTTCTCTTCTTTTTTTCGACCTCTTCTCAGGGCTTGGTCTTCCTCTTTTTGCTTTTCTTTTTCCAATCTTGCCTCCTCCTCCATCTTTACTCGTTCCCTCGCCTCCTCTTCGGCTTTTTTGGCTGCTTCCGATCTCTCTTTCTCTTCTCTTTCTTTTTCTGCTCTCTCCCGCTCTTCTTTCTCCCTCTGCTTCTTCTCCTCTTTCTCTTTTCGAAGTTTAGCAGCTTGTTCTTTCTTTTCCTGTTTAATCCGTTCCTTTTCTAGTCTTTCTTTTTCTTTCCTTTCCTTCTCTTCCTTTTCTTTTTGCAGTTTGGCAGCTTGTTCTTCCTTTTCTTGTTCAATCCTTTCTTTCTCCAATCTCTCCTTTTCCTCTCTTTCTTTTTCCAATCTCTCCTTCTCTTCCCTCTCTCTCTTTTCAAGCTCCAATCTCTCCATTTCTTCTCTTTCTTTCTTTTCTTTTTCCAATCTCTCTCTCTCCTCTTTCTCTTTCTGAATCCTTGCCACCTTTTGTTCTTGTTCAATTCTTTCTTTTTCTAATCTCTCCAATTCTTCTCTCTTGCTCTTTTCTTTATCCTCTTTTTCCTTCTGAACTTTAGCTGCCATTTTGTTTGCTTTTTCCTCCTCCTCCTCCTCCTCCTCTTCCTCACTCTCTGGTTCCACTTTTCCTCTCCTTCTTCTACCTTTAGAAACCGGCGTCGCTTTAGTCTTCCCTCTGGTCTGTCTCTTCGTGGGTTCAACAACAAGTTCCTCATTTTGCTTTTCCTTCCCGATTTTGCTTCTCCCACTTCTTGTTCCTCTTACGCCAACACTACTACCTTCTCCGCTCTCTTTTCCATCATCGATATCCGCTTGGGAATTTTGCTGTTGCGTATCTTCAAGTTTTCTCGCTTTTCTTTTTCGGGGAGCTGGAAACACATCCTCTTCATTTTCCTCATCCTCGCTCAAAACTACCGGCTGCGTTGGCGCGACCGCGAGTTCGGATTCGACCTTTTTTTTTGTCGTTTTTGCCGTTTTTTCCCCAATTGGAATTAACTCTTCCTCGTCGCTTTCTTCATTTGTAGGAATAGGTTGAGTTGGATCCACGGTTATCTCCGACTCCAAAGAAGGTTGCGTATCTTCGATTCTGTCAACGCGCTTCACTTTCCTCTTCCTAAAAATAGGACCAGAATCCTCATCGTCAGTTCCTTCGTCTTTGTGAATTTCTTGGCTTGCCTCTTCCTCTGATTGAAGCTGCTTCGCCGTCCTTCTTTTGAAAACTGGCCCATCGTCGTCGCTTTCGCTGTCCCCTGGCATTTCCATCGGGACTGTTTGGGTGTCAATTAAATCGGAATTTTGCTGCGTATCCTCTTCTTGAATTTTTGCAACTTTTTTCTTTTTAAAAACGCCAAAATCTTCGTCACTTTCGCTATCCTCTTGCATTTCCATCGGTACAGTTTGAGCTATAGTTACATCCGAATTAGCCTGCGTCTCCTCTTCGTTTTCCTCGGATATTTTCTTGCTAGAAACATCCACATCTTCATCCGTTTCACTATCGTCTTGTATCTCCATCGGCTGCGTTGGAGCCACATCCACGGTCGTAAACATTTGCGTCGCCATTTCGTGGATTTGCTTTGCTTTTTTCGTCCTAAAAACTCCATCATCCTCATCATCGCTCTCTTCGTCGACGCACATTGGCTGAGTTGGCGCTGCAGATAGAAAGTCAACTAGTTGCGTTGCTTCTTCTTCTTCCTCCTCCTCTGCTCCTTCATCATTTTTAGCTTGTTTCCCACCTTCTGAACCCTCCTCCTCTTCCTCACTGTCCTGCATGGGAATATAAGCTTGTGTTGCTTGTAATGCAATGTCCGCAGGTGTACTCTTTGCTGCAGTGATAATTGCGTCTGCGTACGGTTGCGTTTCTTCCAGATTTGCATTGATATAAGCTTGGGTGCTCTCCATTGTCAGGTTTTGTAGCACACTGGTGTCGGAAAGTTCAAGATGGAAATGGCCCCCACTGGTACTGGACACGTCCTTTTCTTTCACAGATGAATCAGAGCCTACAGAGGTGTTTGGGTCCTGGGCCCTGTCGTTTAAAATGAAGGATTGTGTCTCAGCTACAGCATAGTCGTCCTCTTGACTGGAGCAGGAAGACAAAGCGTCAGACCTCACAGGGGCCACTGCACCTAAAGAAACAAAAAAAATATGTTATTAATCACAATTCAGATAGAAACATTCAAGTTAAAATGCCTTGAATTTTGAATATTTGATTTAACTAGTAGTTTATATGACTGGTTGGCAGCTTCTTCGATATATTAAAGTTATGTCAGACTGATTTCAATATATGCTTTTCCATAAATATCTCCCATTTCTATAACTATCGTCTATAACAGAAAGTCATACAAATAATAACATTTTTTAAAACATTTTAACCAGTAACAAAGTTCTAAATCTATAGGTGACCTAGAGCAGGGGTGTCAAACTCAAATTCACAGAGGGCCAAAATTAAAAACTGGGTTTGTGGGTCAAACTAAATATTTATTGAAAAATTTCAACAACATCTGCATGTTTTCTTTTCTTTTGAGATATGTAATCTTAAACCTTTTCTTATTAAAATAAATGTTAAATAATAGTTTTGCTTAAATATACAATCCAGAACAAGCATAATATAAAATAATGATTGATTGATTTTTTAATTATTTTAAATAAATAATGTCTCTATAGTCAATCTGTAGCCAGCAGGCAGCTCTAATACATATTATGATCTCGCGGGTCAAATATAATTATATCACAGGCCAAGTTTGGACCCCGGGCCTAAGTTTGACATGTTTGACCTAGAGACATTTTAATAAATCTAAATTAATTGAACTACAAGTGATTTGAACTTACATTACATTTCTGTACATTGTGTAAGCCTGAATTACTATAATAATTTAAGACCCTTCTGAAAAAGAGTTCACCTCAAATTGACAATATGTTGACACAATAATGTAGCAATGCATTGTAAATGGTCAATTCATTAAACAAAATAAATTTTCTTACGTCTATATGCTGATATGGATGGATTTAGAAAAGCCTGAGTCTCCATTTCCTCCATCTTTCCTTCTGAAGATGCAAAACAAAATTGTAAATGGTAAGCATGATGTAAACAAGTCACTCATACAGAGAAAATCTATAAAAAGCAGATGCAGATACTAGAATGCATCATGCATTCAGCTTTGTACCTCAAATTAGAATAGATTATAAATGATTAGGGATGTAACAATAACCAAAATATCATGATACGGTATCGTAAAATTCTCACAATAATACAATATATTGAATTGCAAGTCTCTTTGCTTAAATTAAAAGGTATGGTGCAGCAATAGCTACAAAAAGGAAGAGGGAACTACATAGACCATGATCCTTTGCTCCATTTCAGTGCAGACTATAAGAAGAAATAACAGTTCTAAAAACTTTTAAGTCTTTGGATTAAGTCTTGTCAAGGCATTTTAAAAGGGAAAAAGTAGCACATTAACAGTTTTATATCGTAAAAATATTGTATCGAGGGATTTGGATATTGTTACATCCCTAATTGTGAGGCTCCCCACCATATCGTGTGCTTTCCCACGATATCGCAATAAATATCGTACCATGAGACTTGGATATGGTTACACGTATATATAACATATATTATATAAATAATGTTTAAATATAGTATGTATTTATACTGTATTACATAAATCGTTAACACTGATATTAATTTATCATTGTTGGAAAAAAGCAAACAAAACTGCATGCTTTTTTCAATTCTAACTGTGAACAGGCCTTTCTACAGTGGTGACTGTATTTTAAATAAGCCTTAGTCATAAACCTTGACCATGACATAGTTTATGACTTCTTAAATGCCTACTGTAAACAGCTGAATTCACTTACCTTGTTGTTGTATGGGTGTAGAGCAGTTCTTCAATGAGGCACCCTGAATATCTGGGGTTATCTCTCTTTGCAGGGCAGGAATCTCATTGTCTCCTGTCTCTTTTATCTCATTTTCATTGTCCTCCACATCTGTATCACTGTCCGCAGACACTGGAGCTGCCTTGTCCCCTGTATTCTCACTAACAATGGCCTTAATCAAACCTGCACCTTCAACACTATCTACCTCACATTCAGCTACAGTAAGTCCAGATGCTGTGGGTTTAACATCTGCAGAACCGTCTTCAACATCTGTATCGCTATTGGATAAAAGCTCCAGGTCTTCAGGTGGTTTGCTTGCAACAGGAACATTAATTATCCCTTCATCGTCAGTGTCACTCTCAAGTTGTACATCTTGAGGAGCAGCTGATTTGGATATCGGCGTTTTTGCATCCAAATGCGAAGGAGTTGCTGTAATATCCGCCTCTTCCTCATCTACATCTGTATCTGCATCTAAATTAAAGTTAATTTCAGATGTTTTGGGCATTTCTAGCTTTGCCGTTTGTGATTCTGTTGGTTTTTCTAAAGCAGCTGACACCAAATCCTCATCCTCCACATCTGTATCACTATCCATGTTGAACTCTGCCGCATTTGAAGCTTGGACATTGTTGGAAATTTCAGGAGCAACGCTTGTTTTAGCTGGCTTCTCCTCCTCTTCTTCAACATCTGTATCACTATCCAGACTGATTCCCTCTGGCTGGACAACGGGAATGTTTTGATGTTTTTCGGGAATGTTATCAGATGAAATTGGAGGTTCGTTATCCTCAACATCTGTGTCTGAGTCCATGTGAAATTCAGATTCAGGTTGGGCATTGCTTGACGTTACAGCAGTAGTAGTAGCAGCCTTATCAGCAGTTGGCTTTTCTTCATCTTCCTCCACGTCTGTGTCACTGTCCATATTGAATTCGGGTACAGCCTTAGCTTGAACACCGACATTGGGCTCCACTTTAGAAATCTGTGGTTGCACACTGCTGTTATCCACGGACGTTTTATTATCATTTCCTGTTTCCTCTTCACTGTCATCCACAAGGTCAAGTGGTACTATTTTTTTCTGCTCTTGTCGGTTGAAATCGCTGTCACTCTCCTCCGTGTTGAAGCTGACGCGACGTGTCCTATTTTTATATGATGAGGAAGGAGTGATGGGGCTTTCATCTTCACTATAAATCAACACAGACAGTACGGACAGTTTAAAGTGAGAATTGGAAACATAAAAAATGCATTCTTGGATTAAAAGTGGCGTTTGTGATGGATTACCTCTCAGGAACAACTTTATTTGTCGGACTCATAAATGTAGAACACGTAGGACTTGATTTGTAGGAGTCAGAATCACTTACTGAAAGAAAATAAGCACATGTTAGAATTGAAAAGGCAAGATCGTCTCCAAGTGGGCTCCAATCTGCCATTCCACAACCATAAAGGGAAATCTTATCAAGCACAGGCTAAAGATAGATAAGAGTAGTTTTAAAGATCCAATCAATCAATCTTTATTTATAGAGCCCTTTACGACACACAAGGTGACCAAAGTGCTTTCCAATAAATAAACATAATTTATTTGAACTATATGAATGTGAGAAGGTCAAGGAAGTATTTATATGCTCAGATAAATATAGCGGGATAATGGGCAGAGCCACTTATATACACACATAAACATGTTTATATTGTGTTTTACCTTAGATTGTGTTACAATATATTTCTTATTTTCTTAAAACAGGAAGTGCATGTAAAATATGTGCATTGTGCTTTTTTTTGTTGAGGTTATTTTTATGGTCAGTATAAATGAACATAATTTGCTAATGTCCCCATCTGAGAGTATGACATAGGGCTGCTCGATTATGGAAAAAATCATTATCGCAATTATTTTGGTCAATACTGAAATCACGATAATTCAAATGATTATTTTTTTAGTTACACGATGCAATTATTAAGCATTTTTCTCTCTCTCAAAAAAACCCTCACTTTGTTATTGATAATTTACACAAAGCTTTCAAACTGAAAATAAATATAAGCTCCAAATATGTAACTTAGAGCAGTTTTGCAATGTATAAAACATAAAATAAATAAAATATACTTTGAACATGAAATAAGGCATAGAAAAACATACATGTATCCAAAATAAACTATACATCCAGCTGTTCTACAATCTCTATAGTTAAAAAATTAAATAAATATGCTTATTTATATAAAAAAATACCCCAAAATAAACTTTGAAAAGCTTTAAATCGTTTCAACTCAATTATGAGTTTGGAGATCATTTGACACACAAATCGAAAATGCGATCAAAATTCGATTAATTGCACAGCCTTGGTGTGACACAATTACTATTACTTACCTTCCAAAAACAAGCTACTCTGGCCAGAATGCAACTTTTCTTTTTACCAATCCGTACATTCACTGATCAACACTATAGTTACAGCTTTATTTATTTGTACGGTATTTCCCATTAATATAAAGACCACGGTTTCATCCACCAGTCTATTTTTAAAGCTAGACACAATATTGGTTTAACAGATTATGTATATTATATTTTGCTCCCAAAAGTACACAGAGTAAATTCAATTTGCAGTGTCATTGATTCAAATAAGGATGTTTGTGCCACAACAACCTTGACATAAAAGTGTGGGAATGTTTGTTGTACATACCTATATTCTTTCTCCTCCTGTCTCCAGCTCTGGACTTGTCTTCCTCAGAATCTGACTCAGACTCGGGCACCAGAGACGACTGTGGCTGTGTCGGAGTTTGTTCAAATGACAGGCCGCCCGTTCTGTCAGGTGTCCCTCGGGTGCTCTCTGCATCAGCTATGGCATCCTTTATCGTAGAGGCAGCAGGACTTTTTGTTTTACTTGTGTTCACGTTTCCTCCATTTTCCCTCAAAACATCCCTTGTTTTTAGGTTTGGTGTCACGGGAGTCCTTGTATCCTGCACATCAGCGCTACATTTCATATATTTACAGGGAATATCCGCCACCACAAAACTGTCTCCTTCACTGAGGGCATAGCGAACACGTGGAGTTAGTTTTAAGTGTCCTTTGCGAGTGCCGTTCATGCTTCCCATATCCCAGAGAAGAGCCTCCACTTGGTCCTTGCATCCTCTTCTTCTGTAGACAGACACGGAGATGGTGGCGTGCTGCTTGGACACTGATGGAGCAAGGAAAGACAGGGAGCAGGTGTTGGGGTCACGGCCCAAAACATTTTCTCCCAAGTAGAGAGGACACTCTGCAAAATAGAAGAATAAAAGTTGGAATGACATGGAATGTATTGAGTATTTAAGGCAAGGTATGTTTATTTGTAAAGCACAATTCGTACACAAAGTCATTCAAAATGCTTTACAGAAAAAGAAATACATTAAGATCACAACACAAACAAATCAAAACATAAATAATCATCATAAAATTTAAAGAGAGAGACATTAAATGAGAAAGAACAGTGCAGAATGAGATATGTACAGCTAAACAAAACCGTTTTAACAATTTTTCAATGATTCAGTGATTTTTGGTAAAGTCCAACCCCTCAGTAACGGGTTAAAATTTATTTGGAGCATTAGAACTCAATATCAAAACTCAAAAGTGTGAAGTTAGAGACAAAATCCGCCATATTTGTAGCAACCATGCAAAACACCTATAGATTTACATTAGTCAAAACGGTGTAAAAATATAAATAAAAGAGCCACGGAACAACTGATAAGATGCTGGTGACTGCTGGTAAAAACATTTATTACTAGATAGCATCAGAATACTTTTAAATGAACACACAAGAATACAAATAAAGTCCAAATCCTTATCACTAAGAAAAACTAAACATTATTTTAATCTAACTTAGCCAGTGTCAACATGATTAAAATCCAATAAATGCACAGAAACAAGACCTAAAACCAACACTTGTTATCTGATTAAGTGGATAAGAACATATTTGGATTTCATCTTTGAGGACAGTCAATAAAGTCATCTACTATTAATCCCATCACTCACCTTTCTCAGGAATGTGTGGATTTTTTAGGATGCACAGTTTTCCCAGTGGATCTCCTCTGGCGTTGTTTTCCTCCTCCTCCTGCTCCTCTTCATCTGACTCCAGGACAGAGTCATCAATCATCTGTGTTGCATCCATTTTTCATAAAAGATGTCCTCTATAAACACACATTAAGAACAAATATTAAGATTAAAAGTAATAATTAGTTAGACTTGTGAGCAATCAAAAAGGAGTTAATGTAGATTGTTTTGGGTCATCAGGGCAAATCAGGGCAACATTACTCTCTTTTTAAATAAAGATTGAGGGATATTTGAAAGCATTTCTCACTGGTTAATGATATATTACGTAAAAAAAATTAAAAATAAACAAATGATCATAACTTAGCCTACAAATTGTGGTAAAAGTGGGAAGTGCTATTCAACGCCAGCTCTTATTCTTCGGATCAGCAATTTTTTCATCGTCAAAAAGTATTAAATGCATGCACTGATGTCACTTTTCTTCCCCTATCATGCAAATTGTGTAATATTTGACCAAATGTTTGTTAATCAAAACAATAGCGTGTGAAACTGTTAGCAAATAAGGAAAAAATGGCAGATTCAAGCCAGATTTAACATTATTTTGACACCGATCAAACTTCTTACACGGTACTGTTGTTGCATTATGATTTGATCGCATAAATAACATGTTTTTTTGTATTTTGTGAGTATAAGTTTAGCATTTACCTCATGCGCCTTCTGCCCGAGAGAGAAAAATATAATGCATATCCTGTTTGTTTCTAGAGGGCGTGTCGTTGTAGTACACAGGCGTGTGATTGGTCAATTCAACCGTCACTCATTCAAACTCGGCTCTCATTGGATAAAATTCAATACGTTTTTTGTCGGGCCAAAACGTCACGACTTTTTTCGCATTTTTTCGCGCCAATGAGGAACATGTCCAGTCATATCTATAGATCTAGATCATTAAAATATATACTTTTATTATAACTGCAGTATTTTCCTGATAAAGGTATAATAAACAGGGCCATCCATAAAATAAGAAAAAAAAAAAAAAGTTTACAGATTAATAGATAAGAGAGAAATATTGACATTTTTCCTTAGGCCTGTTCTTTTCACCTTACACTATAATACAGGGGTGAGCAATTAGAAACAGAAAATACTGTAGAGGACCAGGCCAAAAAGCTTAACTCTATTCTGCATAATATTAATTGCATTTCTTCATTTAAAAAAAAGCTGTAAATAGCATTGTTTTGATGAGCTGGTAAGACTGGTAAGAATTTATGTTATAAATACCATACCAGCCAGAACAAATAGACTTAGGGACAGCTTCTTTCCCAAAACTGTGACCATACTTAACTTAAGTTTACACTGAGAACTATTCATTTGTGTTCACTTTGAAGGAGCAGCTCTGCATCTCATTACACGGTGTAGAATGACAATAAAAGCTTTCTATTCTATTCTATTCTATTCTGACTAAGCAATGAAAAAGTGAGGTTTCCTTACAAAAAATGTCATAAAAAGCATCTCTAAAATAAAAGCAATGCAGCTTTTTAGTCCATGCATGAGGTAAAATGATAAAATATGTTTATTTTGTAATTCCATATCATCTTAAACGGCCCTGGAGCTGTACAATACCCATGTTTGCTGTAATACCATTGTGGAAATGGGCAAGACATACACCAAGTAGGGGTCTATAACATGCTTAAATTCTTTATACTGTCTTTATACTGTAAGATATTTACGCCTGCATCAGAAGGAAATTATGACCCCTGATCAACTGCTCGAAATAAAGAAATCCTAATACCCTGATGCTGACCTGTTTGAGTTTTTATAACAGCTAGACACTAATGGAACAGATCAGGTTCTCATTTGTGTTTTTTCCTTTAGTTTAAGTAAGTTTTTTATTTATCGGTATATATCGCTTTTCACTGACATTTGTCACAAAGACTCTTTACAGAGCATTATTCATTCACTCCATACCCGGTGTTAGTAAGCTATATTGTAGCCACAGCTGCCCTGGGGTAGACAGACAGAAGCGCGGCTGCCATGCCAATCAGCCCCATCGGTCCCTCTGACCACCACCATCACTCATGCACACACCACTTTCATACTGGGCAATATGGGTGAAGGGTCTTGCCTAAGGACACAACTGTTTTTTGTGACTGGCGCCCCCCAGTGGTACCTGGAATTCCCATCTAAGTACTAACCAGGCCCAGCCTTGCTTAGCTTCTGAGATCTGATGAGATCAGGCTGTGGCAAGCTGATATGGCCAGTTTAATGCAAAAGGCTTTGTATAGTGATGAGGGCAGGAGAATTAGTTATCGCTATAATCACATTCAAATCAAAACTCTAAATACCATCATGGCCTATATGACTCCTATAATAAAGTAGCCTAGTCATCTTAATATTTTTGTGTAACATTCTCAGCATTAATTTGAGATAAATTAGCAGGAATTGTTGTTCTGAGATATGGTCATTTCATCCAGTTCAGTTCTGCGTTTCAAATTATTCACACACTCACGCTGCATTATTGTGTCTGTGGACGCATACTTAACCAGAGCATGAATATGTAGGTTATGATAGTAAGTACTAGCCAGGCTCCTTGTAAAGTCTAATATTGTAGGAGGTAAAGAAACATTCAATAAAAGACAAAAACAGACTTTGACACTGGACTTTATTGAAGTTACTGTTACAGGTTTTCTAATGAACTGTGTAAAATCTATGTGTTAGGCTTGTTTCTTAAGTTACGGTTACAGCTAAAACCACACTTGAACATGACATCTTTTTTTTTTTTTTTTTTAATTTATTTGAGACAGGGACAGCGCACAATTTTCGCATTAACCTTGACAGGAGAGATGCACTGTACATCAGGTTGTAGCATCAGTGCTAATTTCCACCTGTAGTCCCTGGACAGGTTCATTGATTGATTGTATTTAACTGACCTTGACTATCAACTGTTCTGAAGACCTGTAGCATGTTTTGGGTTGCACTTTTTTGCACTTTGACCATTTCTTTCCTTTTTCTTTTTTGTTTTACGCATCTTCATCTGCCTCTTCCTCGAATTCGCCCTCCTCTTCGGCGGTGGCTTCCTGGTACTGCTGGTATTCGGACACCAGGTCATTCATGTTGCTCTCAGCCTCTGTAAACTCCATCTCATCCATGCCTTCACCTGTGTACCAGTGGAGGAAAGCTTTACGACGGAACATTGCGGTGAACTGCTCGGAGATGCGCTTGAACAGCTCCTGGATGGCTGTGCTGTTGCCGATGAAGGTTACGGCCATTTTCAAACCGCGAGGGGGGATGTCGCACACTGCGGTCTTCACATTATTGGGGATCCATTCGACAAAGTAGCTGCTATTCTTGTTTTGCACATTCAACATCTGCTCGTCAACCTCCTTCATTGACATACGGCCGCGGAAAACTGCGGCAACGGTCAAGTAGCGGCCGTGGCGGGGATCGCAAGCCGCCATCATGTTCTTGGCGTCGAAAACTTGCTGAGTGAGCTCGGGAACGGTTAAGGCGCGGTACTGCTGGCTCCCCCTGCTGGTCAGAGGCGCAAAACCAGGCATGAAAAAGTGCAAGCGAGGGAAAGGGACCATGTTGACGGCCAGTTTGCGGAGATCGGCGTTCAGTTGCCCGGGGAAACGCAGACATGTGGTCACTCCGCTCATGGTAGCAGAGACTAAGTGGTTGAGATCTCCGTAGGTGGGGGTGGTGAGTTTGAGAGTGCGGAAGCAGATGTCGTACAAGGCTTCGTTGTCAATGCAGTAGGTTTCGTCAGTGTTTTCTACAAGCTGGTGGACAGAAAGAGTTGCATTGTACGGCTCCACCACTGTGTCCGACACCTGAGGAGTAAACAAGGACAAGAGGGGATTGTGTTAGTCTCATGATCAGACTACAAGCAAAGAGAATTCAAGTTAAAGTGAACAATACATCACGCTGGATCACGGGTTGTGCAGGACTAAGCTTTGTAACATGCTATAGCTTTTACTAGTTTATTATTCAAATTAAGTTGACCATTTCACAAAATTAGGAAAGGTCTTGAAAGATTCACAAACAGAAAATGCAAACTTCTGTGCAATTGACAATGGCTACTTAATATGTTAATTATAAACCGTTTCCCATAGCTTGTGTAATTTTTATGAATTTTTTTCTTCAATAAGGCATCATTCATTTAATAAATTTTTTACTTAAACTTGCTGAAATAGTGCTGCATACATATATTGGCCAAAACAAAGTCATGTTAAATATACTGAATGTGAAATTCACAATGCAAGCGCAATCGCAACAGCATCAAAATCAAAAATGCAATTAGGGTTTGAAAACTAACTTTCAGAATGAAAAATTTGCAGTTTTCATTCAGAAAAATGGTTCTTGTATTAATTTGTCCGTTCATATTTCAGTTTTTCTTGTCAAAAAATTAAAAATTAAAAATTGCAATTGATATTTTTCCCCAAATTGTTCAGCCCTCATATCGAACCCCACTTAACTCACTGATCGTGTTAACCCAGTGATTACAAGGATCCCTTTCAGTCTTATGATCCGACTCCAGGTAAACTAAAAGGAGGACTATTTATAACTATCACATTGTATCACATGAGTTTGTTTACCTTGGGGGAGGGCACTACGCTGAATGTGTTCATGATACGGTCGGGATACTCCTCACGGATTTTACTGATGAGCAGGGTCCCCATCCCAGAGCCAGTGCCCCCACCGAGGGAGTGGGTGAGCTGGAAGCCCTGGAGGCAGTCACAGCTTTCCGACTCTTTACGGACAACGTCTAAAACTGAATCCACAAGCTCTGCTCCCTCCGTGTAGTGACCTTTGGCCCAGTTGTTTCCAGCACCACTCTGGCCTATAGAAAGATAACACATGGCATGCATAATTATCAGGATGGATGGCATTCATTTCAAGCAGAACAAAACAAAACACTTTCAAACTTTCCTGGACGAATGAAATGGAAAATATTTCTTATTGCAATTTGAGTAAATGCTATAACCACATCACAATAGCACAAAGACTTTCAACACGGCAGATTTGTAATATTTTCCCTTATGGAATAATGTGACTTGAAATGCCCCAGCAAATTTAATTGAGCGAGTTTTCTCACTTCATTCTGGTTTAGTCTGTAGTTTGGCTTTAAGTCTGAAAGATTGGCAATTACATTTTTCATTTTAATATATTACTGACAACGTCCTAAAGCTACATTGTCAATATAATGTTTGCGTCTACTATACACACTTGCTTATTACTTATTTAACTTAAATTAAAAAGTAAAATTTTACTTAAACACCTAAACGTAACCATGTCTATTCCCAGTTTCCCACCCTGATTTCTAAGTTTATTATAATGAAATATAGCTAAAGATCACATACCAAATACAAAGTTGTCGGGCCTGAAGATCTGCCCAAATGGTCCGGACCTCACGGAGTCCATGGTGCCAGGTTCCAGATCCACCAGAATGGCACGAGGCACATATTTACCTCCTCCACCAGAAACAAAACACCACGAGTGACGGAAAAAAGCAGAGAAGAGAAAGAGGGAGAGAGAACAAACCAGCTTAATAATGAAAAAGCCACAATGTCATGTCAAACAATATGAATTTGAGGTACATATTATTATTTTTTTAAATGTATTTTATACATCCAGATTCATTATTAAACTTTAAAAGATCACAATAAAATCTGCTGGATCTTAGAATCTCAATTATCAAAGCAATAATTTCCCATTTGAATGGAATTAAACTTTACCGATCATGTGAAAAATAAATCAGCTTTAAATTA